TGGGGAGAAAGGTCTAATGGCGAGAAGTCACCCAGGAGAGGACCAAGAAATGAAGGCCCCCTACCCAGAAAAGAAGATGACTTGGGGTGCGTCAGGAAGGTCTAGGACTGCAGCCGCCCATCCTGCCTGTGAGTGGGGAACACGGGAGGGAGGCGGCGAGGGGGAAGGGGGTTGGGGGCAGGGATGTCCCTTAGCAGTCTGGAAAATGTAGCTCGTGATCAACTACAACTTGAGGCACTTGGGGACATACCTAAATGAAAAGCCGTGTTCTGGGGCTGGGAAGCACTGTAGGAGAGAGCAGTGGCGCCTCATCCAGGCAGGCTCACTGTCCACACTGAAGCTCGGGGGAGTGTCCGGTGGGGGGGGGGGGCTAGATGGTAGGCTGGGATGAGCCCTCATGCCGGGAGCCAGGACCCCCACTTAGGCAAGGTTGAACTTTCCTCTTTCCAGGGGCCAGCAGGACAGTTTTGTCAGTGGAGCTCAGGGCAGGGAGCATCGTGGGGGACCAGCTCTGCTTCTCACAGTCCCCATGAGGCGCAGGAACTCAGGCTTCCTGGGGATTGGCTTTCTTGTTTTCAGCATGAAGTTGTGGGCTCAATGCGTCTCTCTCGCTTGATTTTAAGCTGACATTCCAACCCATAATAATCTGGCTAAAATCCTACTCCCCTCCCCTGTGTTCACAGGTGAGAGCACTTGGAAGCTGTTAAGAATTAAGTAAAAAAAAAAAAATTCAAAAGGACAAGTATTGTTGATTCAAGAAGGGGATGAGTGACAAAACATTCAGCCCTTCTGCGGAACAGGAGGTGTGAACAGATCCCCACGTCGCTATTAACTATTGGTACTTCCCATTGGTAGGAACTGGTTAACCATTGGTGTTTTTTTGACCTCTCCTGGGAATTGGTGGTAACCAATCTCCAGCCATGATCCAGTGCTATATACCTTAGGGAAGCGTGGAGAACAGGACATAGAGCCGGAGAGAGATGCACACACACACACAGACCCCCTGACCTAAACCTACTGTGTTTAACATTGAGTCTGTTCCCATGTCCTCTGACACAGCTGGTGCTTGCACCATTCACGATGCTTCCTGCAGCTTGAGAAGGCCCTGCCGCACACCTCCGCTAGAATGTCCCTGACATGCCTGGTAAGCCAGCAGGTTAGTGCTCATTCGAGCGACTGAACGCGGAGATTCCTTCCAGTGCTCCCTGCCCTGGCTGAACAAAGATGGACAAGAGTGTGCGCAGGTAGAAGGTGGTAACAGAAATGGGTGCCTGTGAACTAGCGAAGGACTCTGTGGCGTAGGAGAGGAGAGGTCATGACACTTCCTAGCTTCTGCCTTCCTGCTACCGGAAGTGCCACTTCCTCACCCCGCCGCCTCTGCTTCACTCTGGAACCCAGTCTTCCAGAAGTGAGCTGGCTCTTCCTCTGTGTGTCTGCTCTTCTCTGGCTCCTTCCACCGTGCTGCCTGTGATGCTGGTGAACAGCTCAGGGAGGTGTGGGGCCTGGGCTGGACACCCGCGCCCTGACACAGGTCAGCACACAGCTGGAGAGAAGCACTTGCTGGCACAGATAGGGATGGCAAAGAGCTGTGCTGGATGTTAACTGGGAGCTGGGCTGGCTGTTAACTGGGAGCTGTGCTGGATGGCTGACTGGGAGCTGTGCTGGATGGATGGCTGACTGGGAGCTGTGCTGGATGACTGACTGGGAGCTGTGCTGGATGGCTGACTGACTGGGAGCTGTGCTGGATGACTGACTGGGAGCTGTGCTGGATGGATGACTGACTGGGAGCTGTGCTGGATGACTGACTGACTGGGAGCTGTGCTGGATGACTGACTGGGAGCTGTGCTGGATGGCTGACTGACTGGGAGCTGTGCTGGATGGCTGACTGACTGGGAGCTGTGCTGGATGACTGACTGACTGGGAGCTGTGCTGGATGACTGACTGACTGGGAGCTGTGCTGGCTGGCTGACTGACTGGGAGCTGTGCTGGATGACTGGGAGCTGTGCTGGATGACTGGGAGCTGTGCTGGATGGATGGCTGACTGGGAGCTGTGCTGGATGACTGACTGGGAGCTGTGCTGGATGACTGACTGGGAGCTGTGCTGGATGACTGACTGGGAGCTTGCTGGATGGCTGACTGACTGGGAGCTGTGCTGGATGGATGACTGACTGGGAGCTGTGCTGGATGGATGACTGACTGGGAGCTGTGCTGGATGACTGGGAGCTGTGCTGGATGGATGGCTGACTGGGAGCTGTGCTGGATGGCTGACTGACTGGGAGCTGTGCTGGATGGCTGACTGGGAGCTGTGCTGGATGGCTGACTGGGAGCTGACTCTTATCTCCAATTAACCACCAGAACACTGGAAGTGGCACTATGGCTCAAGCAGTAGAGTGCTAGCCTCGAGCTGACGAGCTGAGGGACAGCGCTTAGGCCCACGAACAACCAAAAAAAAATAAAATAAAAATAAAAAAAAATAAAGAGCTATGGCTCTCTACGCCCTGGCTGAGCCTACCCTTCTGTTATTATCTCCAGGTCCTGGACAGACAGCAAACCACAGCCCAGTCTCTGAGACAGCTGGCTTGACAGTGACTTCTCATGACCGCCCTCCTCCCCGCACCCCAGGCCCCAACAAGATAGAAAAGGTCCGCAGGCCTCCGGCTGCCTGCCCTGACACCCTCGGCCTGTCACTCGAATCAGTGGGTGACATTGAAGTCGGCCTTTGGTGTATCTGATTTCCCACACACCCACCATGACATGTGATTGTGCAGTGAAGCAGTTCAGACTTCAAAAGGGGCCTCATGAAAAAGCCCACAAGACCAGGAGCCTCAGTCTGAAGAGATGCTGCTCCAGCTCCTCACGCCCTCTGACAGCCCCCCCCCCCCCGCAGTGAGCCTGCAGAAGAATCTCGATTCTCAACCAGAAGTCCTGCCTCTGGCCTGAGACCTTCTGCGCTCATCAGTCTGAATTTATGAGTTTTTCATCCCATGGTAGCAAAAAATTAGACACAAAGATGATTTCTTAGTACTCAGTGCCATCTTGTCCTTCTACCTAGGAGCCTAGAAATCGTCATAATTTTCCCAGGTATGTAGTTCCCCAGTTCGATTCCACCTTCAAGAGGCAACTTCCTGAGACAGAGAGGGTGGAGGAGAGAGAGAGCCATTGATCTCCCGTGGAAGGCAGGAGGGCCGAGCTGCAACTGTCTGTAGTCGAGAGTCCTCCTGAGAGTCATCCATCCCATTGCTATTGCTACCTGGAATTTTCTCAGCAAGTCTTCATGCCGCTTGCTTGCCCAGAGTAAGCCTCCTTCTGCTCTGTACATTTAGAATGGCATTGTTTTCACGACCAGCGCCAGCGCAGCTTTAGGAAAGAATAGTCGTCACAGGACTCCGGTGTAGTAGTGATGTGTGGGACGTCAGGACTGGAGCATGCGGGCCTCGCTGTGGCGGGCCTCGCTGCTGGCGGCCTCGCGGCGGCCACCCTTCCAGCCTCCCCACCTGCCTCCTTCCGCTGGGCGCGACCAGAGGCCAGAGTTCCGCTCCTCCAACGTGTCCTTTCGCAGTAGAAGACCATGCGGAAGCTTCCTTTCTCTTGGAGACTGGACTTAACCAAACCGAAGATAGAAGCAGGTTGTGGACCTCTGTCTGCTAAAGTGCACAGAAAGCGCAACAAACAGCTTTCAGTGTCTCACAAGCTTTCTTGAGCCGATTGGGACTGTGGGGGGATTGGAGTCTAGAGAGAGAGAGAGAGGGGAGAGAGAGAGAGGAGAGAGAGAGAGGAGAGATACAGAAGAGCCCAGCCTGTTGAGGTGATGCACTGGGCGTGTCCATTACCAGGGTTACGCCCTCTCCTCTGTTATAACCAGGGTTATTCCCTCCCCCACCCCCACCCCCATCCGATTACTCATTCACAAAGATAATCAGCTCATTTCCACGGGATCATTATACTTATTACTACTAATGATGATGACACTAAAGATGACACCTCCCCTGCATTACTATAATTACAGGCCAGTAGAACATTTCAGGAATCTGATAAATGTTTTCTGTCCGCAGAGGCTCATATTGGAAGGCGTGGTCCCCGTGTAACAGCACTCAGGGATGGAGACTGGTCCGTGATGGGATCTGGAGGCTGTGTCCCTGTGAATACATTGATCCACTTCCATGGATTCATCGCGAGTCCAGCAAGGGAGGCCTCTCTTCCTGCTGGCTGATCACTGTGGTGAGTGGCTGTTGCTTGCTCCACATGCCCGGCTGCGGTGTTCTGTCTCGCTACAGGCCCAAGGTGACAGGACAGCGCTGAGCAAATTCACCGAAACAAAACCTGTGAATCCACGTGCCAAAGGCAGCCCTTCCTACTTTAGATTGATTTCTCTTGGGTATTTTGTCACAGGGACACCAAGAGGACTAACCAAAACATGGGGGGGAAATAGACAGGCTTGTAGCTCAAATCAGAAGCATGATGGAACTCCAGGTAAATGAAAGCCTCGTATGAACCCCACTCTGGTGTAGATGACACTTCCCGTGTCTGAGAGCAGCCCTGTGGTCTGAGGCTCAAGGATCTCCAACAAATCAGGATAGAGGAGATCAGAAGCCCAGCGAAAGGATGGGCATCGTATCTGTAAATGAGCAGGAAGGGGGGGATGTCCTCACCCGGGGGGAGGAGGTGACCGGGAGCAGCTGGGGCTGCAGGACCCTTGCGCGAGCCCTGCGGGCCCTGTCCTCACAGGCGGGCAGCAGCCGCTGGCCCCAGGCCGCCCTGGGGCGGGGGCAGGAAGGGAGGCTGGCCTAGGCCACGGCAGTGGGAGCTTTGAAGGCTTGCATCAGAAAGTTGTGGGTGGAAACCTGGGGTTCGCGCTTTGCTTCTTGAGGCTTCTCAGCTTCAGCGGGGGTGGGGCATCTCTCTCTAGAGAGGCTCGGCTTAGGGTGGTGTTTCCCGTGACTGTGGAAACTCTATAAAGAGAAAGTCGGCTTCCCTTCTCCCCAGCAGTCAGCAGCCCGAGTCCCATCCCCAGCACTCGGGCCTCCGTGGCCTAGCAAAGCGGGCGCGTTGGTGCTGGGGCTGTCCCTGCCGTCGGAGCCATGCAGCAGCCCTTGACTTACCCACACCCCCAAATCTATTGGGTGGACAGCGCCGCAAGCTCTCCCTGGGGCCCGCCGGGGGCCGTTTTCCCTTCTCCGTCTTCTGTGGCTTCAAGGACTGGCCAGAGAAGACCACTCCCGCCGCCACCGCTGCCTCCGCCACCGCCGCCTCCGCCACCGCTGCCTCCGCCACCGCTGCAGAAGAGGAGAGACAGCAACTCCGGCCTCTGGCTCCTGGTGATGTTTTTCATGATCCTGGTGGCCCTGGTTGGATTGGGGATGGGCTTGTACCAGCTCTTCTATCTCCAGAAGGAGCTGGCAGAACTGCGTGAGGTAAGCGGGCAGCCGGCTGGCGCTCTGGCGTCCGACGGCTTCGCTGCAGTGGGAGTGGGGCAGGACTGTTGCAGAGAGCTTTCAGCTCCCCCCCCCCCACACACACACCTGCTGTATTCAGGAATGGATTGTTCTGGTCACTCTGTTTTATAGGTGGAGAAATGGTCCTGAGTAGTGAGGTGCTTTCTGAGCAACATCTCTTCCTCCTGCAGTTGTCAGGACCCCCTGCCCAGCCATTCCATGTAGAGACAGGAAGGAAAGGCGTGAGGAGGGTTGCTTAGCAGTCAGTTTGCTCGTGACCGTATTGGATCTCCTTGAAAAGCTGCAAAAGTGGGTGCTGCTCCAGTCACAGTGCTGAGGGTCGGCGAGGAAGAGGTCCATGGAGGCGAGAATTTGGGACATTTGAATTGCTGGGGCTGGGTTATTTGGCATTTCTGCCTCCTTTGCTTGAGTATCTTCAAATTTGTGACACAACTTTTTCTCTTTTGCTAGTCTGTCAGCCAAAGGCACACAGAATCACCTTTGGAGAAGCAAATAGGTGAGTCCTTTTCTGCGTGAGCATTGAGTTCCCAGAGTCAGTCCTCAGCACTGAGCCATGGAGCATTTTGAGTGCGTTCCCAGGGTTGGGCCCAGGCTTACTTGGAAAGGGTGCGAAGTGTGACCACTGGCTCAGTTCCTGAAACTGCTTTAACATTTCCGTGAAATTGGTGTCACCGAGCGCTGCACATACATTCAGAGACGCTCCTGTGGCTTGCGTGAGGGTCACACTACAACCTGGATGTGGGCCACCTGGCACCAGCCCGGCCTTCCTAGGCATCTGAGTGCCGGAACCCGTGGCGATGGCTGTTACTCGTAGGGAGTTTCTGAGAAATGCTTCTCCGTTGTGAAACCAATGATTACCTTTATTTAGAAACATTTTATCTGATAGGACTAAGTTACTTTTTTTAAAGCAAGCCATCAGTTGCCCACCTTAGTATCGGACTTCTGCAAGGAGAGCACGGCTGGGGAGTCCTCGCTGTCCTCCGGCGCTCTGCCCGGCTTCTCTTGCAGAGACTCAGGCTTTCTTGGGTGATAATGGAGATGCCGGCCGCAGATGCGGACAGCTGACTTTACAAACTTTCAGGGTGTTCTTTGGGAAGCCATGGGCAGATACATTTGAGTGTATTCCTCATTGCTTTTAACTCAGATTCACTGAACTTACAGGTTTGGTTTGAGATGGGAGCTTAAAGTACATCTGGTCTAACCATCTCATTTGTCGATGAGGCAAATTTGGGGGTAGCCCGAGATCTGGTATCGCAGTGGGGTTAGAATACAGGTCCCCGATCCTTTGTCACCTGTGGGGCTTGCCCACACAGGCCGCTCGCTGCCTCATGAACGAGAGGACTTCCTGTTTCTCTACAACAGCTGTGCAAAGAGAAATAGATGCAAGATCCCTCTACAGCGGAAATAGGTCTGATGCTTGTAAACCCGCAAGGCATCAAAAGACCATGGACACCGTTGGCTGTCTGTCAGTAGAGCGGGTTCTAGGCTCAGAAAGGCCTGCTGCCGTTCCCTGTCCGCTCCTGCCCAGGAGTGTGGGCGCCTAGAAGAGGTGCCCGGGGCTCCCTGAGCCTAGTGCTGGCTCCAAGCCAGGTAGACCGCATGAGCCCGGGGAGAGTGGAACTATTTGCTAGAAAAGGAAGTCTGTGGAGGAGGGTGGTTGGTGAAGCCAGTGCCTAATTACTCACCCTTCACCCACTCTGCGGGGGCATCTGGTGGTAAGAGGCGGCGAACGGATGAGTCAGGTCTCCCCCAGCCGCCCTGGACGGGCCTCAGTCCGACGAGTTACCCCACCCAAGCCAAGCCAGTGGCTTTTCAAATTCACACATTCACAAACAACAGAAAAAGCCATCAGATTTACAACAAGGAAAGACTGCCAGGGACATCAGAAAAAGTCCTCCTCAAACTGTGTCTCAGCCGTAGGTGTGAAGAGGGCTATTACTTTTCCAAAGACCCGTTTGAAAACACAGATCAAGGGGATGCTATTTCATTTTTTCACCTTTTTTCCACACTAGTTGATCACTTATTATTTTTTCCAATCCTGGAGCTTGAACTCTGGGCCTGGACACTGTCCTTGAGCTTTTGGTGCTCAAGGCAAGTGCTCTACCACTTGAGCCACAGCTTGCTTGCTTTCTTTCTTTCTTTCTTTTCTTTCTTTCTTTCTTTCTTTCTCTCTCTCTCTCCCTTTCTTTCTTTCCTTCCTTCCTCCCTCCCTCCCTCTTTCTCTTTTTCTTTTCCTTCCTTCCTTTCTTCCCCTCTCTCTCTCTCACTTTCTTTCCTTTCTTTCTTTCTCTCTCTCTCTCTTTCTTTCTTTCTGAAGTTTAGTGGAGATAAGACTCTTAAGGACTTTCCTGCCCTGGCTGGCTTCGAGCTGCGATCCTCAGATCTCAGCCTCCTGAGGAGCTGGGATGAGAGGCGGGAGCCTCCAGCCACCCTCCCACTTCACTTACTAATTTTTTAAAAGAATGTTAGAGGTTATCTTTAAGTAGTTGTACAAAGGGGTTTTAATTCAACATGTCAATTTGTGAGTGCACTTCTTAGAAGGAAGGCTGTTGGGCTGTGATGGTGTGGTGGCTGGAGTGCAGGGTAATGTGTTTGCAGATATAATGGTGCAGTTCCCTCCCCAACAGCTAATATAGCCACTAAAAAAAAAAGAAAGAAAGAAAAAGAAAAAGCATGTACTAAAGGCTTGAAACTGTTGGTTTATTTTATAACCCTATCACCATAAATTTACCTTGTAAAAGAAGGAGAGACATGGCCAAGGATTGAATATAAGTATTTCCATCGGTCCTTCATAATAATTCAGAAGAATCCCCAAGGTCTGAGAACAGGAGCTCATTAAATACAGGAGGGTGTGTTCCGACAAACACAGCTTTGGCCAACTGGAACCCGCACAGCAGACGGACATGGACGCCACGAGGCCTGTGCCGTCTACCGAAGGCTCTGCTTGGCCCAGAGTTGACTGTGTGTCCTGATCCATGTTCTCAGACAAGAACCATCACACTTTACACAGTGACTTTCTCTTGGAAAATGCTGTGATGGGTGATCGACTTTTTTCATTTCTTTTTTTCCCACAGTTAGTTGACTGAATGTTTCTTAGGTGTTCTTAGAACGCTTTCCACCGGTCAGGCTGGGTGTTGAGAGTGACGGGAGGAGGAGGAGACCTCTGACCTCTACTCATGAGCTTTCAGGGGAGTGGGGAAACGAAAGTGAAGCAAGCCAACATAATTTCAAATTATCCTAGCAGGGGCGGCAAAGCGGAATAGTCCAGAAATTCTCCTCCCAGGGATGGGAGTTCCCCCAGATGAAAGCTTTGTGTGTGCTGTGAAATGGAGAGAGAAACTTCCACACTGGGGTAATGTCGGGTCAGGAAACCAAAGTCTAGAGTACATTTCTGCTGTATATGCTGCCGATATTGATAAGGGTGTCTTTTATCCGAATCATGTTGCCGTGGGTTCGGTGTGGGCTGTGAAGGTCCCCTCGGGGCTGAGTTCCATCCCCTGCTTGTGTGTGGCTGACGGGCCGATGGGCAGCTGTGGTTTGCAGTACGGGAATGTGAAGGAGGCTCAGCGTGCCATCCTTGTCCAGAAGAAAGCTTAGGGACCGTGCCTGGGAACAGATGCCGGTTCCGTAGCTCAGGAGTCCAGCGTGGCTCTGCTTGGGGTGATGTTGGGGGGAGCCAGACAGCTTGCAGACCTGCTGTGAGTTGGTAAGTCCAACCACAGCCCTGAGAGCGACAGGCACCTTCCTGGGCTCAGTCTAGAAAGTCTTCGTTGAATTCATGGCTAAGTCGTAAGTTTTCTACCTGGGATGAAATACTGGAAGTCAGAGAAATAGTGTCTATTTTGAAGGAAGAAAAGCCCTGTGGACATTCACTCTCTCTGTTTCATTTGATAAGCGCCTTTACTAAAGGCATGCTCTGTGTACAACCTAGGGCCAAATACTCTAGAAAATTCTACACATGGTAAGGAACATACATGTCATTTAGGAGAGCAGGAATCTGACCATTTTTTACAAAAATGACACACAAAAAGGGAGTTAGGAGTGGCATAATGGGCAATCGCAGAGGAGCGTTAGGTTTATAAGAAAGATAATATTAGGCTAAAAAAAATGAAGGAATTTTAGATGGTCCTTACTGATTGAAGTTTGACACAGAGATCTCTCTGTGAGAGACTTCTTCCCAGGCAAAAGCCAGAGCATGAGCCAAGGCCAAGAGGCACGGGGAAAGGGGTGTGTTCAGGTCCTAGGATTCCTGGAGTGTACGAGTGTACAGTGCGAGTGTGGGAGAGAAAATAAGCCGGGTCATGTGATGGGGTCAATTGGCACGCTCAGTGAGGCACCTGCCGGTGGTCTCCAGTCTCAGTGAGATGAGGGGATCTTTCACGGGGCGAATTGTAGAGTGTCAGGGGAAGACGTGTGTGGCTCTGAGCCGAGTTCACAGTCACCATCAGACCCTGCAGAGTCCTGCACTGGCCGTCCAGAGCAGAGCCCTGGATCTAAGGCTGGGAGGTGGATGTCCGCCATCTCTGCCACTGGCCACCCACCTCCCAAGATCAGCTTGGAACCCAAAGGTGCCAGCAATTCCTACCCCAAAGGGCCATAGCAGGTTCCACCCAGAGCCGCGGGGATGACAGCTCTGCAGGCGTCCATGCTTGCATTCATTGCGTTGTCTTGTGACATTATAATGTGTGCAGCGATCAACCTCACTTTGGCTTATTTCTTTAAACACTCTCTGCTCCTGAAGTACCGCTGCCTCCAAGTACTAGAGTTGGCGTGTAGATTAACATGTGGCATGCTTTAAAAATAAACTTTCAAGGAAACGAGCCCCTCATTTTTCCATGTGTTCTTTCTCCCAGGCCACCCCAGCCCACCTTCCGAGAAGAAGGAACCAAGGAAAGCTGCCCATTTAACAGGTCTGTGTCTAGAAGGCACGGGGGAAGTTGGGAGAACCTCGGGCAGAAGGCGAAGGGCTGCTTGGTTTTTTCCCATCACGGCTGGGGGAGTCGCTGCTTTCTGAGGGGACAGCCCTCAGAACCCAAGACCACCGAGACGTCCTAGTCAGGTGGACGTCGGCCCCGCGTGTGGGCAAGTGCGCGAGCGGAGCCGCGGAGCTGTGTCTCCCTCTCCACGCTGAGCTCCCTGTCTGCCATTACAAAGACGCTCGGGGGACTTTGATTCAGGCCCAAGAGGAGAGGGGAGAGGGGGAATGGTAAGCTGATGGAGAGAAGGAGACATGCGGTTCCCGCTCTTGTCTTTGAACCTGTGAGGATGAAGAGGAACGGTGTGGTGGGACTCGAGCATGGCTCTCCTACTGTCTACCACAAAAAACCTGAAAAGTAGATAACTATTACAAAAATTGGTATAGCACGACTTCTGCTCCTGTAATAATTACCTGGGCAGAGACGAGAGAAAAATCCAGTCAAACCTGGTCTGTGGTGATGCCTGTATTCACGGCTACTCCGGAGATGAAGCAGGAGGTTCATGGTCCATGACTCTCCCAGGCAGAATCATGAGACCCTATCTGAAAGATAAACTAAGAGCAGAAGGACTTGCTGACATACCTGCCCTGAGTTCAAGCTCTAGTCCTTCCAAAGAGGAGGAAAGGGGAGGGGACGGAGGGAGGGAAAATGGAAGGAAGGAAGGCAGGGAAGGAGGGAGGGAGGGAGGCAGGCAGAAAGGAAAAGGAAGGAGGGAGGGAGGCAGGCAGGCAGGCAGAAAGGAAAAGAAAGGAGGGAAGGAGGGAGGGAGGGAGGCAGGCAGGCAGGCAGAAAGGAAAAGGAAGGAGGGAAGGAAAGGAAAATCCAGTTTAGTCAGTCAACACTAACTGGGCATCTGCTGTTTGTGAGGTTTTGTATAAAACATGGTCCCTGCCTCTCAGAACCTTGAAATCTAGTAGATCAAGAGAGGTCCATGGCAACAGTTTCCTAACGGGGATAATTCTTTAAGTTCTGCATATCAAGCCATGGAGGAAAGGGATGTGGGTTTTCTTTTAAGTTGAAGAGCCAAAGACTCCCTTTTGTGAGAGGCTGAAGCCAGTGGCCTGTGATATCCCTTCCAACGTTGTACGTTCTTGGATTTCCCTTTAGAAAGGGATCTCAAAGCCTAGCAAGCTGGGCACTGGTCCTGAAGATCATCAAATCTTTGTTCCAGAGAGCTGAAATGATCATATTAATTTTCATTGTGATTTACTCGTTTCCCTTGTGAAGATGATAAAGCTGATGCCGGCAATTTGACAAAGATATTGAACTCAATGACAGATACAGTTCCAAGCCCTCAAACAGTACTTTGCCATCTATGTTGCTCTGGATCAAAAAGACGCTCAGCCGGCTAGGTACTGATGCACTCCTGGTGAGCATTCTCTCTTGATTTGTTTCAGGCAATCCCAACTCCAAATCCACCCCCCTGGAATGGGAAGATACCTATGGCGTTTCCTTGGTTTCTGGAATGAAGTACATGAAGGGCAGCCTTGTAATCAATGATACCGGGCTGTACTTTGTCTATTCCAAAGTATACTTCCGGGGCCAATCCTGTACTAATCAGCCACTGAGCCACAAGGTCTACACAAGGAACTCTAACTACCTCCAGGATCTGGTCCTGATGGAGGGGAAGATGATGAACTACTGCACCAGTGGCCAGATGTGGGCGCGCAGCAGCTACCTGGGGGCCGTGTTCAGCCTCACCACCGCAGACCACTTATACGTCAATGTGTCGGAACTCTCCCTGGTCAACTTTGAGGAATCTAAGACATACTTTGGCTTATATAAGCTCTAAGGAAAGCCCTTTAGGAGGGTCTCCATTGTGACTCCTTGTTATAGGTACTGGGAACAGTGTCCTGAGGGTCTTCTTGAACCTGACTGAGGTCAGGTGAGAAGAATACGAACCACAGAGACCTTGAGACCACAAGACCCAGCAGGTCTGGGGTGCACCGTGCCGCCCGAGGTTGATGGGCCAAACAAGGAGGAATACTCCCGAGGAGGGGCAGCTCTGAGCAGCCGGTGACGATGCGGAGGCCTCCTCCGGCGGCGTAGACACAGCACAAATGCCCCAGAGCACTGGCTCACGCCGCAGGAGTCTTAACCCACCGGCCAGGGTGGGTGTCCTGGCTACCTCAGGGGGCTGGCCGGGGAAAGGAAGGCGAGGCTTCAGTGATAAGCTAAGGAGACACAAAGAGGTGGCTGTCCTTTGGCAGCGTCTTTGCTGCTAAGTAGACTATCCCGGGCTGCTGGGGATCGAGCGTGAGCAGCGGGAAGGACCTCTGGGGGAATTCAAGCCCATTTTCCACCTATCGTGGGCACTGCCAGAGCAATTTTTGTGTGTGAGAGAGAAGCAAAGAGGGAGACAGAGATCCTGGGTAACAGAAGTGGAGAGAATGCAGATTAGTTTGTGAAGCACACAGTAGGACCATATGCTGGAGTAGGGTAGAGTTTGAATTCCTCTTTATCATCCGCTCTGCTAGTCCTCAGACCTCTTTGACTGGTCAGTGGCCACAGCTTTAGAGATATTTATATCAATTTTGTGCATTTTAAGGAAGAGAAGACATGTAATAAAAGCTGTAATTTTCAGAATATAAAAATATTCTGAATGTAATCTTTAGATTTGATTTGTTTTGCTCATTATTTCTTTTGTCCCATGTTTTCATTCACAATGACTTCAGACCACTTTAACATGAGTTGAGGTCTACGTAGTCAGTTATTCCGTCTATCCTGGGCTCTTCTTTCTGTTTTCCTATTCTTCTTCCTCTGTCATGTGGCCGCCAACCCAATTTCCCCAGTATTTGATAGCAGCTGTCTCCTCCCCGGGGCAGATGCTATCATATAAGAGAAAAGCACAGATTTTAGACTGAAGCACCTGAATCAGAATCTCTTTTCTTCTACTTACTAACTTTGCAGTTTCTAGGCAGATACTTGCACTTTTTTGGGCAAAAAGAACTGACATGACCAGGAGCTGGTTGTTCACGCTTGTATTCCCAGCTAGTCAGGAGGCTGAGATCTGAGGATTGGGCTTTGAAGCTGGCCCAGACAAGAAAGCCTGTGAGACATTTATCTCCAATAAACTACTAAAAGAGCTAGAAATGGAACTGTGGCTCAAAATGGTTGAGTGTTAGCCTTGAGCAGAAGCAGCTTAATGACAGCACCCAGGTCCGGACTTCAAGCCCCAGGACTGGCACAAAAAATAAAAATGAAAAAAGAGAACTGACATATGCGTAGGCATCAGACTCCTATTAGCCAGCCCTTCATTCTGCAGAGCGAGCTGTGGCCTGTGGAACCCCTCCAACCCCAGCCCCAGCAGCCTCCTCACCCTGCCACTCACCATGACCTCCTCTTGTTCTCTTCAACTACTTGCGTTCACGGCCAGCTCCCGGGAGGTCGATATCACCCGAGACCGCAGAACGACATTTGACATTTGAGACTGGCATTTCCACACCCAGGTGTGGCTGGAATAAAATTACAGAAAGATCTGTTTTTGTCTAGCATGTATGGAATTCAGCCAGTCAATGATTGATGGATTGGTAGGCTACTCTATCTTTTCATTGATGTGGATAGGTAAGATACATACAAATTTAACACACAAGAACGGAAATAAGTCCTCTCCCCACCTGTCCCGTGCCCCCCAGTCTAGTTTCAAGGAACCACTGCCTTCTTAGCCTTCAGAGATGTTCTTACACACACATACACCGTTATCTGACACCTGGATTTCTCCACTGTCATTACTCAGATATGCTCCCATTTCCAATTTTTCCTTGCAAACTAGAGGGCTTCTCGATGACACTTCTTTGGCATGCTGAGCATACATAAATGATGGAATGATTTCATCTTTTTGTCTGATCATGTTAGCAATTTTTTAATCTTTTTATTGTTATAAAGCTGATGATGTGCAGAGGGGTTACTTTGTTCTTTATTTTTGGTCAGTTGTGGGCCTTGAACTCTGGGCCTGGGCCCTGTCCCTGTGCTCTTCAGCTCAAGGCGAGCGCTCCACTGCTTGAGCCACAGCGCCACTTCTGATTTTCTAGTGGTTTAATGGAGATAAGAGTCTCACAGACTTTCCTACCCGGGCTGGCTTTGAACTGCGATCCTCAGATCTCAGCCTCCTAAGTAGCTAGGATGACAGGCATGAGCCACCAGCGTCCGGCTCAAAAGGGGTTACTGTTGTGCTTATTCTGAGCCAGGTACCTCTGCCCTACGGGCTGTCCTGTGTGTGATCTCGTAGTTCAAAGTATTTCTGCCCTCTAGACACCAGTAGTATCTCCCCCTCTCCCAGACACACGTGACAACCAATCATTAGCTTCAGGCGCAGTCAGATCTCCCTGGGGGCGGGGGAAAGACAAAGCTACGGCTTCCTCTAATAATCACAGATCCCAAATGGCACCCAGCTCCCGAGTTAGCATGCCTTTTCCCTCAGCCACGTGTATCATAGCTTTTCCCTTTTGAAAACAAGTCACATTCTTCCTTCTACCACGTAACCTTCCTTCCACAGAAAAAGACAGAACCAGCTCTTTCTTCAGCGCGGCTCAGTGGAGGAAGAGCAGTCCCGCCCAGCCTAGAGACGCACTTCTGTCTTAGCAACGTTTTCCTTCTGAACATCTTCGCTCCCCTGTTCTATCGGCAAACTATTCTCATCTATAAACTTATTTCCAACCATATGCTCAAGGACCCCTTTCAAGAAAAAAACCCAACCCAACCCACGCCACACCAAAAACCTCCTTCCCCTCCACAAGACTGTCCTTCCCTTCGTCGTCTTCAGTTGCAGCTGCAGTGCTCACTTCCCGGAGAGAGGCAAAGCCTGAGCCTCTCCCCACAAGGCTCCATGTTATTTTCACTAGGACTCTCCTCCCCATGGTCAGCATGCGGAGTTCACGTGCCATCTCTTCATACTAGCCTACCAAAAGCTTCCTCTTTTCTCATAATTGCATTTCTATTTCTTTCGGTCCAACTCTGAGCTGCACTCGGATTTTCTGAAGACTGAGTGATAGCTTATTTGTGCTTTAATTCCTGGTTCCAGAGAAGAGAGATTCACGAGTCCTCTAAAACTCATGAGTTATTTTTCCTTTAGAACAAAAGGAATATCAAAAACCCAAAATGTGAAAATGGGCTCTTGCATTGTTCCTTTGTGGAAAGCAGAACACGGACCCACATAAAAGTTTGCTTCTAGTTCAGTCATTTGAGGTTTACCTTCTTTCCTTTCAAATACCTAAAAGCACACCACACTCATGTATATTTTTTGAGCCCCTTGGGGTGGTAACTCTGTATTCACTGAAGTTGGTTTGACTTACCACAGCTTAACCGGAAAGACGCTACTGTGGCTACCGTTGGGAAACAGCAAACCGTGCATGAAACCTAGCCCCTAAAGCCAGGGTCTAAATCCTCCTTCGTGGACTGAGCTCCAGGCATCCCCCAGGTCTTGTCTAAGGACGTGGGGCATCGGTTAAGTGACGGTTTTCAGGTTTGGGGACGATCTGCTATTAGCATAGATGGAGATCTAGTTCCTCCCTCTCTGGCACGCTATGCTGGGTCATCCAGAGGCAGTCTAGAGAAGAGCAGGCCAGGACTTCGGTCCTCCGGGTCTCAGAAGTGAACCTTACCCAGAAACGATACAGCCCCCGCTCATGCCAGGGAGCCTTTGGGGTCCGCTTGTAAACCAACGGCCTGGGCGCACTAGGGAGCTAGGTGGGTGTTTTTCTCCATCAAGGTGGGGAGGACCCTCCGCGCTGGGCAGCCGGCTCGGCTCCTGGGAGACGTTTCTGCAGCACGGGCTGTGCTGCTCAGCACAGGAGCAGAGCAGAGCCGTGCACCGCCACGGGGGCCTCCTCCAGCCTTTCTTCCGTTCTCGGGTTCTCCGGCCCGCCTCCCCCTGCCTTCCCCTGCGAGTCACTCCTCTCCCTGAGGGTTTTTTGGGGAGGGGGTTCGAGGGCGCGCGCTCTTGGGAAGTCTCATGCTAGCAGGCTTGCTGACACTCACACGGCTCAGGCCTCGAGCGAGGAGCCACGCGGCAGAGGGAATCCAGGCGCCCTTCCTGACACACACACCAATTAAACGCAGGTTATTCTTATTTGTAGTGAACCCATCACTGAACCCGGGTGCCGAGGAAGTCCCCCTCCTCCAGCCAGCGGCCCTGACGGGTGGAACTTGTGTGCTCTCAGGAGTCAGCTTTCTGTGGGTGAACCACTTCAAACACAGCGCGCATTCAGGCAGGAGACACCCCTGATGCTCTCGACTCTTAAAGGTGCCCACACATGTAAGAAGACATCAGAGGCAAGGCAGGGAGGTGGCGAGCGAGAAGGGCATCGCTTGGCATTGCGCGTGGTCTTCTGGACCACGATGTTTTAGGTTCCTTTGTTCTAGAGCTCATGTTCTATCTGTTCTGTCCTAACACCGGTGCTGAGCCACTTCTAGTCTGTGCAAAGGAACCTGGTGCCTATTTTCTGGCAGGGAGAATTCCAGAAGTTGCTTCTGATCGGAAAGTAGATGAAAGGTTCTGACCTTAAAGAAATGAATTGGGATGGTGAGCAAGGTGGCTCATGCCTGTCATCCTAGCTGCTCAGGAGGCGGAGATCTTAGGATTGAGGTTCAAAGCCAACCCCGGGCAGGAGAGTCAATGAGACCAATGAACCACCAGAAAACCAGACGTGGAGTTGTGGCTCAAAGTGGAAAAGAGCTTGCCTTGAGGGCAAAACTCAGAGACAGAGCCCTGGCCCTGAGTTCAAGCCCCATAACTGACAAAAAAATTCTAAATACTCCCAAAAAAGAATAAAGTCTATGTTGAAGAGGCTGGAGATGTTGGTAGCAAGCAGTGTGTTTACTCCGTCCCCTCAGCTTCATTGACTCGACAGTGGGAAAGAGACGCAAGGTGTCAAACAGCCCTCTGAAGTGTGAGCTGCTGGGAAGGTCTACCACAGCCTCAGCATCCTTCCACGGTGTTTGGGCGAATTGTGCTCTGGTT